ATTTGGAAACTTCTTACTTGGTATCTTTGTTGGAGCTTTTGTATTATTTGCTGGATTAATTGGCTACATGAAGATTAAACAGGTTTGTCATATGCAGTAATAAATAATAAATATAAAAATAATAGTAATGATATTAATAATAATAATATTATATAATAGAGTATTTGTAACAAAATTTGATAATGTGGACTGAGATTTAAATCAAACCACCATTATTGAAATTCTTGTGTCGAAGTCTGCACTACTGAACTTTAAAATTTGTTTTCAGAAAACAATTGTAGACAAGAAAAGTAAGGACAGAAGAAAAGATGTGAGTTTTCTTTTATTATAATTACATTAAGTATATATAGAACTGATTTAAACAGATAACTAAACCATTACATTAGACCATTTCTACTTAACAAAATTATAGGCCTACAAAATCTGTAAAACTGATCTTTGATTTTACCAAATTTCAGACTTCACAAGTTCTATGGAACGTCTGAAGTTCCTACGTAGGGAAATAGACCAAAATACTATGGAAATTTATCATTAGATCTAGACCATTAAATAGGTCTACACATCGAATAACGTCCAAGCATATGACCTTTCCATCAGGACCTTTGGTTAAATTGTCCCTCGACAACTCAGGCTTGTCAGATTAATGATAAATTATTGTGAAAATCAAGAAAAAAATTACCTATAAATTTTCGTCTTTGTCGTCGTTTTGGGTTTGTTTCCACAGCTTATGAAACTGTACCTGAAATTTAAGCAAGCCATATTTTGCACTCAAGACAAATTATTAAGGTGGTAGGAAAATTGTTTATTTACTACGGATACTTGGACATGAGTAGTGAAATGCATTTACTAGTCTGAAATTTGTTACTAACGTCTTGAGAGTTTAAACACATTGCCCGTAATACCAGTTTATGCAAACAATTGTTTTCACAATGGACTTCTCACTTCCCAAGCATCGCATCTAGTCCAGAGAAAGGCATATATTACGGCAATATTCCCAAATGAAAGGGTGCATGATGGCATCTTTGCCACAATATTGCCAACACCGTCTGAAGTCTCACAACATGTCAGCGTAAACATACATTTATACATTTAGAAACATTTCTCCCTTTTTTGATCCTTCGAGTCATATCTGACAAGGGTGCTCAATCCTCCTGCCACCCGATGTTGCTAAGCTGTTGTGCTACTTTCTTCTTGGCACTCCCCTTCTCCCTCGTCTGAACATTTTCTTTCATAATTACAATCTTGTTTTTGATTTTGTACATGAAGAAATCAATAAATGTTACTTGATATTGAGTTCTCTTATTTACTATTACAGTATTTGTAATGATTAATTGAAAACAATAATTTATACATTTGTACTAATAATTTTTTTCTTATTTTAAAACAGGTTTATATGACATATATGACAGACACTGGCAATAACAATCCAGTATATCAAGATCTCCAACATATTAGGCCAAGGGAAACAAATCCAAATCCAGTATATCATGATATTAGGGAAACAGTTGACGATTACATTACGCCTATACGTCAAGACAGAAATGAAACAGAAACAGGTTACTGTACGTCTATCGTCTAATGTCATGACAGGAAAATAAAAGAAACTAGATTTGAGCTCGTCACTGAGGACGAGTTAGGTGATCCGCCGTACTTTGACCCTCACGAAGCACGCACGATTCTGATTGAAAAGTATTATATGCTAAAACTTACTCTATTTAAAGAGTAATTTTGAGCATTTTAAAAGAAATTTTAAAGGAAAAGAGTAATTTTGAGCGTTTTAAGGACGAATGTGTACACATACATCTTTACGTCCGTGCTCACGGTAATGATATTATTACAGTGTCACAAACCCAAAACATGTAACCAAAACGTAATTTCCAGCTTCAGTACGTGCTGTGGGTGTGGAAATGAGCGTACGGCGTGTAAAGTATGAAAAGTTTTGGAATATTCAAAATGACCTGAAATGTGCTTTAAATTATCTGAAAAGTGATATTAACAATTTTAAAATTTTAACGCACAAGTACGAATACCTTATACGACGTGCCTGACGACGGTAATGGCACATGAATTTAAACCTTGTCAAGTTTAATTTAAAACCCCCTGTTGGTTGGTAATGCCACACGAATTTTGCCTTTACAGTATACGAACTATCGGTCTGATAGTTTCTAAATACAGTCTGCCGCCCTCTATTTTCAATGTGTTTACATCTTTTAAGAAAGAAAGATGAGAAGGCTCCAAAAAAAGCATTCTTTTTGACTATGATGACGTCATCAAAATAAAAAATAAAGGGACACGTCCGAAAGAGAATTGATTTAGCTATAACATACTCACAGGTGGGAGACAATCAATCAAAATAAGCGAGTACGTTCAAACGAGTATAAAAAGTAATAATGTCATAAATAAAAATTCAATTTTTTCTTAATTCAAATGGCAATATGATGTCGTCACAATGTCCATTCAGCCAATATGATCTATAAAATCGTATCCACAACTCATGTGCTTTCAGAATATGTAATAAAAATTGGGGGTCACCTTTCATCCTATGGAGCTATAACTGATTAAAAATATTCATTGTTTTATGCATATATAAATGTTGATGCACGCGTACGCGCACGTTAAGTCGCGCAAATGGAAAATTAAGGTACCTGACATTCAACCTTGACCTGAAGATTATGCTCACTTAGTATGATTCAGAAATGACGAATGGTTAAGATGATATGGGATCATCAACGTTTTGAGGAAAGAAAGATGTGGGGGGTAAGAAAAAACAATTTTTTTGACCATGATGACTACATAAAAATGTAAAAAGAAGTCAAATAAATGAAAGAGAATTGTCTCAGCTATAACATACACAAAGTTGGAAGACGATCGATCAAGGATAAGCGAGATACGCTCAAATGCGGATTTTCAAAAATGACGTCATAGCAATAAATCACTTTCTTTGAATTCAGATGCCAATGTGATGACGTCACAATGTCTGATCAGCCATTATGATCTATAAAATCATATTTACAACTTATGTGCTTTCAGAATATGTAATGAAAATGGGGGTCACCTTTCAACCTAAGGAGCTATAACTGATTAAAAATAGGTCTGATTTTAGCATAATTTTACTGTATAGCATCACAAATACGTGCAAAGATACCTATGTTTGATGCGCACGTACGGTATTGCTATTGGCCAAAAGATGACCGAATAGAAAGGAAGTTTGTGAAAACAATGTCAGGAACCCAAACTATGTGAAAAAACATAGTGTCTAACTTTCATACGTGCTGTGCACGTCAAAATGCGCGCGCGTAGTGGAAAATTTCAAAAAAAACTTAAATGCTCACAATGTCCTAATACGTGCTCTAATTTAGTCAAAAAGTGATTTTGAGCATTTAACAATTTTGACGCACGCGTACGCGCGCGTAGTGAAGCGCACGCGTCAAATTAGGGTACAGTACATTCAACATTAACCTGAAGTTAATGCTCACTTAATACGATTTCTAAATGGCAATTGGTTAGGCTGATTTTATCGATAATGTAAAAACGCAAAATTGCGCGTAGATGACGTCACGCATGACCGAGCGCGTTGAAAAGCTTACCATGACTATTCCAGACCAAGCCAAATGTTCGCTGACAGCGATTGTTCGTAACTCGTGGCAGTTTTTGAGATATCGTGCGAACAGAAAGGGAAGGAAAGGTAGAATAAAAAAAAAAAGTTGTAAGATCTCTGACAGTAACAAGAGGTGATCCGCTCGAGAAGCGGATCACCAATTATTTTATCTTTATTTAATCTCAATCTTTACATCACATCAGTATAGGATATGTGGCTTTGCGCTAAAATGGTTTGATAGCTTTCATCACGATAGGTTTCAGAGAGTCCAATTTAGGGGCTCTTTTCATCCTGGTTACCTGTCTTGTCTGGAGTCCCCATGGATCAGTGCTTGGACCAACTTGCTGTGCAGGATGCCTGTAGATTTGTCAGAGGGCATTTTAAAAAAAAATATTCATAGTGATTTAAATTAATGTATATTTTTATGTATAACAAAATTGTGTGTGTGTGTATATATATATATTTATACATATATATATCTGTCTCTTATACACATCTAGATGGGTATAAGAGACAGTTACTATACTGCAGTCCCATTTCCAGAGGAAACTTGTCGTGTTTTTCTTAGGTTCTTGAATCTATATTTAATCGCTGATTGCCAAGAACTCT